CTTTCCGTACCCACTGTATATATATATATATATATATATATTTATTTATTTATTTATTTTTACAAATATATACATACAAAATAAATAAAAAATGTAATTTAAAAATCTGTATTGTCCACTATTTATTTGTTTGTTTGTTTATTTAGCCTTTTATAGGCCTATATCTTTTTTCTCTCTTGGATCTAATCTGGTTCTGATGTGTTGAGCCTTCTATGTCAGTAAAAATGTTGTCAAGCGAGCTTGTACAGATGTTTCAGATCTGCATTTTTATTTTTACTATATATAGAAATTGTCTTGAAAGGAAAGCAAAATGTGAGGCAAGATAAACTAAATGAAGACAATACTGTCACTTTACCTCAAACTTGCAGTTCACTTCACTGTCCACTCTGTGGCAGTCTGTGCATTTCTTTTAGCTATAAAATAAGGAAGAAGGTGGATTTTCAAATATCACTTTTTAAATGTTCACAAGTACATTTTAAAATTATGTGCTGTGATTTGTATGTGAACTAGCAGTTGTAACTGACAATAACCTTTGGCTCATTCATCTGGCTATAATGCATAATTATTATATTTTGTGCTGTAGAGTCCAAATCTATAGCCACCTGTCTGGTGGGTTATTTTGAGGATATTTGGTCATTAAAATTTGAATATGAATAATTTTTTTGTTTTTCCACAGAGGAGAGTGAGAACAGAGTGCATGCAGAGGAGAAGTGGCCATGTGAGCACATTGGTAATGTGTCCTTGTGCAACTGTGTGTCCAAAAACAAACAAAGTGAAGAAGATCCACATGTCTGTCTTGACCATGACTGCACTGTGAGTGTTTGAAAATACTTATTTAGACTTGCAGTTAACTTTTACAGTTAACTAACTATTGGATATTAATTAATTTATTAGTGTGTATTATTAATGCCACAAAACAGTAGATATTTTTTACCCATTATTATTGCAAGCCCTGAATTTTAAGAAAATCCACTCTCTTAGCTCTTCCTAGTTTTTATTTGTTTGCTTGATTGTGAATACACTGTAAGAAAAAAATCATTTAAAAAGCAGATAATGTCCTGGCAGAAAATTACCAGTACATTTTGTGATCAAATAAATTAAGTGTTTAAGTATGATATGAGAGTTTTTAGAACTTTTAAAAATAATAATTATGTATATTTTATGTATATGTATATGTATATCTGAGATAATACAATCAAAACCATAGGTGATAAAAACAAGGATGTAGGTGGGGTTAACAGGTTAATCGTACCGATGAATGTGATGTTATCCAATGTGAAGTGGACAGAAGGAGATATCCAGCCTTACAGAAGCTGTCCTGACTGGACATTTACTCTCACTAGAGTTTTGTGTGCTCTTCTGGGTGTGGTACTGAGGTGCCGCTTCTTCCTCGTGGATGACTGAGTGTGTGACCAGAAATCCTGTCATGTGGTAGAAAATAGGTGGGTGGAACACTTACTGCCTATATGCGTATTTCATGTTTTGGTGTATGCACTCTTGTTGTGAATTGCGGATTAAAAGCAAGTACACATTACAAAATCCAAAATGGAAAAGAATGAAGAGGCTAAAAGAATGAAGAGGCTAAAAGAATGTAAAGGCGGGATAAAAGGACCAAACTGCATGCTGGCGCTATTTGCATTATCGTTGCGGAATGTTTTTTTTTTTTTTTTCCATTTCTTGAGCTCTCCTGTATTGTGAGCCGGAGAACAGCATCTCTGCTTTTTAATGCACATTTTCCTGGCATCCGTTTTTCTGGAAACTTCATCTAAGGACAGCATATTGCAAAAAAAGGCACTCCAGACTTAAACTCAAATGATTTTAATAAAACAGAACAGCATTTAAAACTTACTCATATTCATAATTTGTCAGCACAAGCAGTGGAAATTCTGAGTTGGCTAGACTTGGGAAGGCTAATGGAAAGAACCTGGACTTTTTGTAACGGCAAACTTTCACACTTCAGTTTTAACTGGATTTTTGAATTTTGACTTTGCTGTTTTATTTAATTGTAGAATATGGTTGTTTTGAATACAGACAGACTAAATTAAATCTTAAAGAGGCTGTAGACTGTCCCGGAAGGAAATGGAGAGTAAGCCTATCAATTCATTTTTGGACAAATTAACAAACCTTTTTGCTCACCATGAAAAGCAAGAACTCCAAACACTGACTGAGGAAAGTCAAGATGTGACTTCTTTTCATTATTTGACTGAGAAAGGAGAGGTTAATGATAAAAAAAATAGTGTTCAAAGGCAGGATGGTTTCGATGATCAAGTGGATGCTTTTGATATAATTGTTAAGACTTCACAAACAAATGCTGAGGAAGACAGAACAAAGGACCATGTCAACAGATCAGAGCATCAGAATGTTAATGAAATTGATTTTTCTTCAGAAAAGGAGGAAGTGGATTTGCACCTGAATGTTGACCACCAAAGAGATAAGTACAATAAAACATCAGCAGCATGCCAGACTGACCAGGATGTAACAGATGGTCAAGCTGACACACCGTCTAAATCACTTAGCGAGGTCTCAGCCTGTGACAGTGCTAAAAGACTGGACAAACAACTTGATAACCCAGCACTCTGTACAGTGGATATTACTGTTTTCAGAGAAGAATCTTCAGACAATGAGCAACAGTTTGTATCAAAAAGCAATGATAAGGATATGAGCAAAAACAGACTCAAGCAGGGCATATCTAGAAATGAGACCATTGTTATGGAATCTGGTATAAGCAATGAGAAGCTGTTTGGTGTTGTGCTGCAGAATGAGAAAGAAGAAGACCACACTGAGGAAACCAGCAGCAGCAGCAAAGAAACAATGACGATTGTCAGAGAGAACACTGAGGAAGAACCATTGAAAGACAGAGTCTGTCAGGATGTCCTCACAGACATTCAAAGTACAAATATTCCATCTGACAGAAATAATCTGGCTGATTTTTTAATAACAAAGTCTTTGAAGTCATCCACAAATAACAATAATTACTTTTCAGTGCAAATTCAGCAGGAAGTATCTGCTGCTGAGAGCAAAATAGAGCCTGATGGAAATCTTCAAAACTCTGCAGATGTTCCAAAGGTAACCAAAGCTGGTGTAAATGAGCACACTCTGACTAACCACAACCAGGCATCCACAAACATGGACTTTCAGACCACTTTAACATATTGTGAAGTTGAAGATCTTTCTGCAGAATCATCTGTTGATATTGAAAAGATCCAAACGAGAGATGAGACTGCAGTTGGTCAAGCTACATGCAATGGAAGCAGCACAGAATCAGACAGCAATTTTGTGGAGGTCCATCCACCTACCACAAGCCAGAAGAACCAAATGAAACATTCTGAGACTGGAGGAGAGATTTCAGAAGGTTCTGACCTCTGTGACACTGAAGAACACAGTTCATCTGACCTAAATAAAAAGAATAATTTGGAGCCTGAACTGTTATCTTCAGACATCCAGCTGGAGGAACAGGTGGTAAAAGGAGAAATTAATAAAGAGAACGAAGAAGAAATAATACAAGAAGAGACCATGTTAGATACAGATTCATCTTCCACTGAGAAGACCACAACAGGCCAAACCCCTAAATCTGTAAAAGAAAACCCGCTCCAACTGTCGTCCCTCTTCACCGGGCTGCTCAGCCCCAAGAAAGAAGCCCTTGAGGAAAAAGACACTCCAGAGCAACCCCAAAGCCCTGCCAAAAGAGGACTTTTTACCGATCAGTCTAACAAGAAAGAAGTCAAGGGAGACTTCGTAGAACAGCTTACCCAATTCCTCAGCAAGGGGGAAGGAAAGAGAAAGCAAGAGAGCATGACAAGCCCCCCACTGTCTCCAATCAGTCAGGATCCTGCAGAAAATCCAGAGAAAACTGTAGAGGAGCCAGCCAATACCCAGTCTGAGGAAACAAACAAATCTACAAATGCGGAGACGGCCCTAGGTGCATTGAAGTCTTTCTTCACAGTTAAATCTGCCAAGAAAGACACTTCAAATCGCATGGACCTGGACACTGTAAAGAGGAAGATCAACAAGGACAAAGACGTCCTCAAAGCCTTCTTTGATAGGAGGAGCTCAAGCAAGTCTCCAGACAACAAAGAAACTACTGATTCCAAAGTATGAAGTGAACAGATGATTGCATTTATTGGTAGCATCTCAGTATCAATACATGTGAAAAGTCTTATTTTATGTGCACCTACAAAATGTAATCATTTTATTTTTATTTTAGTTCTTTTATTTTAATAGGTCCTTTAACTTCAACGGTGCAATGCACAGGCTGAGGTGAGTGAGGAGCACACCCCAAAGCGACTTCAGACTGTTTGGCCTCCACCGAAACCCAAATACGAAGAGGAAAAGATTGGTCTAAAATACACTGAAGCTGGTAAGGGCTTATTGAATAATCAGAAACAACAGCAGTAAGTGTAAATGTTTGCTCCGATTCCATATTTGCAACACTGTCCAAACAAATTCCGATACACCTCCACCCAAAATGTGTTCCTAAAAGGCAGTTCTACAGATGAAATAACTCAATGTCACATTATTTGTTACTTGTAAGACTATATGTTTTCTCAGCAATGCATTTACTAATTTTGCGCCATTGAAAATTACATAAATGTGTGCATTCAATACTATATAGTTTTATAATCACCCCTTACTGACAGTTCCATTGCCTGTACTACAGTGTCTTATAGATTTAAAGGGTGTGGAGTCCACAGCCACACCTAAGCACACACAGTCAGAGTGGTGTTGTCATATGTCTTGGTATGATTATACTTGAGGAAATAAGTTCTCTTGACAGTTTTTCCCATGGTTCTCTAGACAAGGCAGTGATCATCCCTATATAACAGTCCCACCACTGCCATCTATTGGAAATTTTACGTCTGCAATATTTGATGGATATCCAATTCTTCGTCCCATATACAATAGAGTAAGATCGCTTTTCGGCAAGGATGCATTAAATTGATCAAAATTGGCAAATAATACAATAATGTTACAAAAGATTTATACTTCAAATAAATGCTGTTATTTTGAACTTTCTATTCATCAAAGAATAGTGAAAAATGATGCATCACTTGTTGTATTCCTCAACTGTAAGTCTGTCAATTTAAAAATCTATCACTATTTCCATAAAAATATTAAGCAGCACAACTGTTTGCAATATTTATAATAAGAAGAAATGCTTCTTGAGCACTAAAATCAGCATAGAATGATTTCTGAAGGATCCTGTGACACTGAAGACTGCTGAAAATTCAGCTTTGCCATCTCAGAAATAAATTACATTTTAAAATATATTAAAATAGAAAACATTTTTTTAGTTGTAATAGTATTTCACGGCATTACTGTTTTTGATCAAATGTAGCCTTGGTAAACATAAGAGATGTCTTTCAAATTAAAAAACTTTTGAACAGTATAGTGTATACGTACATATTATTCCATATCTTTATATATATTATGGCATAGAGATCTGTTTTATAGGGTTTCTGGCACTATTTAATGGTTTTTGTGATACATTTAGTCACAATGTCTTTGTTTTATGTTCTCAGAGCATCAGGCAGCGCTTCTGCAGCTAAAAAGAGAATGTAATGAAGGGGTGGAGAAGTTACAGGTGAGAAGCTCACGAAAACAAACGTGTATGGGAATATTTTACTAATAGCATCAAGAATTTGAATTTTCAAGAATTTGAGTGTTTCTACAATTTGTGATTTTAAAGCATAGTATTCTGCTTATTGAAAATAGTTATGCTTTGTTTCCTTTTGAGAATAACATTTCACAAAAATAGTTTTTTTAGGTTTAACATAAATAGCAAATATATTGCGCCCTCTGCTAGCATATAACTGTGTATGCATACATTTACATTATATTTAGCAGACACTTATATTATACATTTTCTATCAGTTCATGCATTCTCTGGGGGGAAAAAAATGTTTATATACTATATGTTGTGGCTTGGACTTTTTAATGCAGGCCGACTTCAAACTTGAGCTCTTCCGGTTACAAAAGAAGAACGAAGAGGATCTGTCCAGACTAGGATCAACCATTGCCAGCTTACAAAGAGAGAGAGACAAAGAGAGAGGCAGAGATCACAGAGATGTTGCTGTGTCCACTGACGACAACATCAAGCCACGGGCCTTCTGCTCTGTGTGTATTCAGACAGAAAGAGAGACCAAGGAAGATGCCAAGGAAGCCCAGAGCAGGAGTTTTGACCCCCTGCCTAAAAATGTTGACCTCAACTCAACAAAAATCTTTACTGGCAAACAAAAGACAGTTCCTCCTTCAGCTCCTCCACCTGTATCGCTTCAGTTACAGATGGATAGCAACAATACTCCACCTCCTCCTCCTCCTCTTCCTCCTCCTCCTCCTCCTCCTCCTCCTCTTCCAACAAGCCCTTGTACTCCTAATGTACCTCCACTTCCTGCTCAGCCACTAGATAGGCCAGGAAGTGTGCCTCCTCCACCACCTCCACCAATGACAGGATGTGGTCTGCCACCACCCGTCCTCCACTCTGTCCCCCCTCCCCCTCCTCCTGGAGTTGGTATCTTCCCCAGTAAAGCAGCAGACAATCCTCCTCGCAAGCCGTCAATGGAGCCAGTATGTCCAATGAAACCACTGTACTGGACACGAATACAGATTCAAGATCACAGGTATTTCTTATCACCTTGACTCGTATTTTAATTGACGCCGGTCAATAACATAGCAGTTCGTTTTCTTTAACTGTGCTTTTTTTTATTGTTTAATATATTTTAATTTATTTATCAAGAGCTTATCAAACCTTTATAAAAACCTTATCAAAAGAATGAAATTCTTGAAACTTTTATTAGTTAATTTTATGTCTTATTCAACTTACAATATCTACTTCACTGCAGAGGCATGGTGCGATCAACATGCAGAAGCATAAAAAAATTATATGTTCAAGAAGGCCCCCATGACGGTCTGTCAAAATAAATAAATCTGAAAATATCAGATACATATTTAAAGTAGATTTTTAAAAGAATTTTCCTTTTCTTTATCATTGTCACACTTATATGTCATTGACCCAAACACAAATATGTAAATTGTATTATTATAAACTGAATACAGGTCAAATTAGACGCTTCTGGTCTTTCATCACTTGCATTGCTTTAAGACAAAGTGCTCAGCCACTGACACAATCTGTATTCATTTAGTGTTATTAATACAATATTATAGTGTTTTTTTATATTTTGAATTAGCGTTTATTTTTATATCTTCAGTTTTAATTTTAATGTTATTTTTAGAAGTGTTGGTATTTGCTTTTGTCATTTATAAGTTTTTAAAAATATTTCTACAGTATATAGCTTCAATTTTCTTTTATTTCAGTTTTAGTAATTTTTTACTTCAATGTAAACTTATTTTATTTCAGTTAGTTGCCAAGAAGACATTTTCATTTTTTTAAAGTTTCGTAAGTTTAAGTTTTTCATCTAATATTTATATTTTATTTTATTTCAGCTTTATTTCAATTAGCAAAACTTAATTTTAAAAGTTTTAGTTAACAATAACAACACTTGACACAATGCGCTTTTAAATAGCAAATAACTGCTCTAAACTAAATATAAAACCTTAAAAAAAAACATCATCCCACTCTACCTGTATTCCATATAAACATTTCCATTGTTCTTAACATTCCTCAAACACACAATGTCCACAAGTGACGCTGACATTTTCAACTCTCCCTCGTCAGACCTCATGGGAAGTTTAAGACCGACTGCTGCAGGCATTTGTCTGCATGAGGAGCCAGCCACAGGCCGAGCGGCAGTCTTTCCAGGACCTCTAGTGGTGGTGTGAATTTCTGTGGCATTCGGCTCCCCGGCCACCTCTGTGCTGTTGCAATGTTATTTGACTCCTCATGAAAGCTTTCTGCTCTCTCCGTGAGCAGTTTGTCAGGCCAAAGGCGAACCCAGTCAAGCTTAGCTGTGCGCCATCATCCTGGCTCCTTAATTATTTTTATGGGAGAGAAAATTTTGCAAATCAGATTACTCACTTTGAGCCCCTGTTGATTTTCCTTTTCCTGCTTTTAGGCATGGTTACCCAGCAACAGTAAATAGCTCATGTAACTTTGGTTTTTACAGATGTCAGTTTTGGTCATGGCCTTTTCTGTGACTTTGAAGTGTGAAGATTCAGTCGCAATAAGCTTTAAACTGAGCAGAAACTGTTGCGAATGCCAAATATTTGAAAAACATAAAATCTCTTGTCATCTGTTTGTCTTTTCTAAGGAACAATATGCTATGGAGTTCCCTGGAAGAGCCAGAGATAATAAACACCAATGAGTTTGCGGAACTGTTTGCTAAAGCCACATCGCCCACCAAAAGAAAGCCCCTATCCGAAGCCTATGAGAAGAAAACCAAAGCCAGGAAGGTACCGCTCTTGCCTGAAGATGAGAAAAATTATTATTACATAGATATTTATATCGCAAATGCGAGGTTGTGGTTTGATTTAACTAATCAAAAAGAAATTCACATGCACTTTAAGTCGCTTTGGATAAAAGTGTCTGCCAAAATTCACAAATGTAATGTATTGCTCAATAGGTTTAGAAATTACAGATTTGAGAAGTGTCCACTAGGTGGAGCAGTTTCCAACACTTCCGAATTATAAATTACTTGAACACTAGCATACCTGATGCATTCATTCAGTCACCTCTGATAATTACAATTAATTGTTTCTATAAACAAAAACGTCATTTATCAGGTGCTGTCACTTGATAGAATCTGCAAATTTTTATATAAATGCTTATGTGTAATTTCAGGATCCCACAAATGCCTTTGAAATTGACATAATTATATAGGAAATGGGAATAATTTGAAATAAATTAACCTGTTTATGAAATGTGATCATGCCATTGTTACCTTTGGCCGGCGGTTTTTATAATGGAAGTTTGGAATTTCCCAAAGGTTCTTTTGTTTTTCATTCATTCCACTTTTTTATAATACAAGCATGAGTCTTTGCGACCTAATGTTTGAATGGTAGCGTAAGCAGACTGCACTTAACTTCTGATCTAAAGTGAAATGTGAAGTGAAATGCTATTCTGTGCTGGGGTTTGTCTTGTGAATGTGAATTTTTTTTAAACTTTTTTAGGTCATTAAATTACTGGATGGCAAGCGCTCTCAGGCCGTGGGCATCCTAATCTCAAGTCTCCATCTGGAGATGAAGGACATCCAGCAAGGTAAATCACACTGAACAGCCTCATATATGCTGAGAAATACTCGACCACCAGCTCAGCAGAGTGTCATTTTATTCTATCCAGACTCATTTTTTCTCCACTAATAAAAAAACAGACATGTTAAAATGATACATATTTGTGTGGCCTGGATAGCGAAAGGCAAGCTAAGACATGATGTTGAAATAATTCTGTATATAGAGACATATCTCGTGATTGGCTCCAGCTCTTATTAAGGATAAATTGGCTGTATGTTCATTAAATAAACTTGTCTTGTGGTTTACCACTAGAAATGTTCTTTGGGTTCTCCACATTATGGTGTGTACATTAGTCCTACTTACTAAACGTATACTTTTCACATTGACAATCTTGAAGTCATCACAGCTTGGCTTAACGGAGTCAAGACAGGCAGATGTTTTTGATGACTTTAGTAAATTGAGCAGTGAATTCCTACAGGGAATAAAGCTCTCAAATACATATTTAGCGACTTTTAAATTCGCATATCACATCCATAGCTTGGCTTAACGGAGTCAAGACAGGCAGATGTTTTTGATGACTTTAGTAAATTGAGCAGTGAATTCCTACAGGGAAAAAAGCTCTCAAATACATATTTAGCGACTTTTAAATTCGCATATCACATCCATGACATGCACATGTCTAAGAACTAATCAGTCTTCTTGTCTAGAGGCTAATACTTCTTCCTTACACAGCTGTTTTGACTCTGGACAATTCTGTGGTTGACATGGATGCTATTGAAGCCCTGTATGAAAATGTAAGTACCCTGCCACACTGGAAATTTACTTATGTACAGGCCCATGCTGAATCCCAGCCTCCAAAACAGTAGTTTTGTACAGAATTTGAATATCCATCTTTCGCAAAGTTCTGCATATCCTGCACCCCTTTCTCTATTTTTCTTTTAAAAATAGCAAAAATGGAGGATATGATGAGGTTCTTACAATAAAAGTGAATGAGGCCATTGTTTGAAGGATTTAAAAGCAGAAACGTGGAGATTATAATTTTATATAAAGCACACTAATTATTCTTGTGTATCCATTTTTACAGTCTTTTTAGGGTTTATGGTGCATGTTGTCATGGTGACAAAGTTGTAAAATTGTAAAGAATCTTGCACTGAAAAGGTTAGAAGGCAACTAAATGGAGCTTGTAATTAACCAAACATATTCTTTGAAATATGTTTGATGACATATTTACTGTATTTAACCATTTTACTGTATTTAAATCCATTCCACTCACTTTTCTCAACAAAATCACTCCAGAAAATGCACATAAAGTCTGCAGATTCTGTATCACCCTGCTTTTCGCTGTAGTTCCAGTTCCAATGTAACTAAATAATTGATAGTTCCTGTGTGGTTTCATAAGTTTATGTGCGTATCATTGGTCAGTTGTCATATGAATGCATCTGTTCTGTTTCTCCCAGAGAGCTCAGCCTGAGGAGTTAGAGAAGATTAAGAAACACTATGAAACCTCAGACGAGGAGCAGGTCAAACTACTGGACAAGCCTGAACAGTGAGATATTCCAGAAACACACCAGATAACTCACTTTTTCATGCAACTTGCGACTAGTGATACATTGGTTGCCACTTACAAGGGCACTTTTTGCAATGTATACTTCTCTAAGGTTCCTTCATTTGAGGGCAGACGAAGACAGAGTAGTGTTTTCAACACTACGCACTTTAGGTTGACAGATGTTCATTGCTTTTCCTTGACAGGTTCCTGTATGAACTCTCCCAGATCCCTGAGTTCTCCAGTCGAGTTCACTGTTTAATTTTTCAGTCGAAGTTCACTGACGCTGTAGCCTCCATACAGCGCAAGACTGAGATTATTCTCCAGGTCTGCAAGGTACAAAGGCACTTTTCAAAGGAGTCAGACTTCAGATATTATCAAACATTTGATAAAGTACAAATGCTGGCATTCTTAACAGTCAAAAAGCAGCCCTTCAGGCAGCTGCCGTTTATTCAAGTGAGGTCTAAGTGCATGCTTTGTCTCCAACATCTCCATTATGGCGAGCGATAAATCCACAAATACATGTTAATGTGTTTTAGTATCTGTTGGAGAAAGACAGTATGAGGGAGGTGATGGGACTGGTGCTTGCTCTGGGAAACTACATGAATGGAGGCAGCAGAGCTCGAGGACAGGCCGACGGCTTCGGGCTTGAGATACTTCCCAAGCTTAAAGACGTCAAGAGCAGGGTAACATTTTTCTCCATTTCATGAGCCCATGTTTGACACTGAAGGCCCTAGCCGCACACAAACACGCTGAGGTTTGATAAAGCCTCAATTTGTTTTTTCGGTTTGCTAGTGGTTTGTACAGGATGATGCACGTTTTTGTCATAATTCTCTATAAATCTACAGGAAAACCACATGAGTTTCTTGGACTACATTGTTTCCTACTGTCTGCATCACCTTGATAAGGTAAAGCATGAACATGTAATTCTTCACATGCAATGTTTTATTTTGCACAGTGCTGGTCACATTATTTTCAGGGTCAATGACATGACTCATTTTTCTATTAATTAATTCATTATTTATTTTCTGTTCATTTATTCAGTGATACATGAAAAAAATCTTTCAGTTTCATTCAATTTTTTCTTAAAAATGTTATTAAAGGTTTTTGAAACTTACATGAATATCAATTTATAATGTTACAAACGATTTCTATTTCAAATAAATGCTGTTCTTTTGAACTTTCTATTTTTCAAAGAATCCTGGAAAAAAATAAGTATCATTCCACAATATTCCACAATAATATTAAGCAGCACAACTTTTCAACATTGATAATAATAATAAATGCTTCTTGATCTCAATCAAATCAGCATATTAGAATGATTTCTGAAGGATCGTGTGACACTGAAGACTGGAGTAATGGCTGCTGAAAATTCAGCTTTACCATCACAGGAACAAATTACATTTTAAAATATATGAAAATAAAAACAATTATTTTAAGTTATAATAATATTTCACAATATTACTGTTTCTACAGTATTTTTGATCAAATAAATCCAGCCTTGGTGAGCATAAGAGACTTCTTTTAAAAACATAAAAAATATCTTACCAACCCCAAACTTTTAAATGCTGTACATTTCTAAAAACTTGATACATGTGTTTTCATCTAGATTTTTAAGTCTTCTCTTTATTATGTCACTGACCCTTACATCTCTTTTCAGAATGCTGGGACAGAAAAGAGCATCTTTCCTTTGCCCGAACCTCAAGATGTTTTCCTTTCCTCTCAAGTGATGTTTGATGACCTCTCAAAGGACCCGAGGAAGCTGAACAGAGACCTGACAGGTAAGAATGACCAAAAGCACTCTCAAGGGCTTCAGAAATGATTTTAGCATGCCACTGATTTACTATAGCTTCAAAAGAAGCAAGATTACATGGGTTTGGGTGGATGAATGACTACAATCCTGCAACATGGCTCCAGCTCAATCCTGAGGACTTTACAGCATCTGTTAGCAACAACTCATTATTAAATGACATTAGATCAGGTGGAATATACGGACATGTTTGCGTATGTACATCATGTGCAGGCACAGATGCAGAGACTAAGTGGAGTCTGTGTGATTTTGCCCTGGCGCCTTTTAGATATGACTTTAATCCTGCCCATCAGATGCTTCTGGCATTGTGTGATTCTTTAACTCCGTCAGAGGGGCCAAAGACTACAGTGCTTTGGCGCTTCTGTAATCTGAGAGAGGAGCAGCTTATCGCCGGTGGGATGGGCTTTATCTGTACAGAGATGCACTGCCGTTCTTGTGCTACACTGTATCAGTCCGAGTTCAGTGTGGCCCTGCAGATGTGTGTCAGAGATTCTTTTCTTTACCTCTCAACAAGCCTTTCTTATCGGGCGACGGAGAGACTGCCAAATCTGGCCCATCGCGCTCTCCCTTTTTTTCCCTGCTGTTTGAACTCCCCTCATGACTGCGAGAGAATCATGTCTTTGTTTTTTTGTTTTTTGTGCTGTGTTTGTTCGATTTTTGGTGTCTTGGGTGCATTACTTACAGCCCCACTGAGGTTTTGGCTGCTCAAGGTGACCGCATTTGTCTGTGATGTTATTCTGTGGAGCAAGAAAGTGCTGCACTAATCAAATTAGTCACTGTGTGCCTACACAAAAAGGGAATGTCCCTGTGATTTTATTTTCCAGAGACAATTATGACAACATTGTGAAGCACATCTAATGCTCTCAGTCTCCACAGCTGATTCATCTGGTTTGCGTTTGAGAAATTTTTTGATCTCTTTGTGATTGTGGTTTGGCTCACCACAGTGCACTGTTGAGAATACCTGAATGTAGCTACGAGCCGCCATGGAGGAAACTGTATAAGGACCTAATCAAGCTAGACTGTAATTAATTGATATTTCTTGTAGAAATGCTGTGGGAAAGATACACGACTTCTTCATCATTGCCAGCTGTGTTCACAGTTTACACAAATGCTTAATGAAAACAGTAGTGTGTGTAGCCTTATCTGGAGTGAGATGCAGATGGAGCGTGTCCAACAGTCCTGGGTTCCCATCAGGGTGTATTATGACTGGGGCAGGAGACTGGCTCCTCTGATCCTCTGATTGGACGGTGAACAAACTGAGATCTTACCCAGAGAAAAAGACATTTGATAACTTCTGATTCTGTCACAGGTGGAGCTTCAGCTCTATTGTGTGTTCTTGTTCATTGGTTAGAGGCGGTATGTTAGGAACAAGTGCAAACAAAAAGGGTTTAAAGGGATAGTATATAACTATTCTTATTTGTTTATAACGCAAGGAAAATAAAGCAATTACTCTAATTAGCTTGTCACAGTTTCATAGACAGTACAATATCAAACATACCTACAGTAGAATGCTGTCGCTCAACTTGTTTTTAGACTTTGGAAATTCCCTCATGTTGCACATTTTCACATTAACTGCTCATAATCAAAATCAGTTTACTGTAATCATTGTTTTTACAGATGTAATCGGCATAATTCACTGCGGTGATGTCATAATTAAGGCACTAACAGAATTTGCTTTATCAGCCGAAAGCTATTTCATTCCATCTGCAAGTAATCAGTGATGTTTTAATGGCTTTGATGACAGTAGCTGTGATTTTATATGGCTTGATAAAACCATCTTAAGCTGAAGCCTGAAATGAAGACGTTTTTGTTTTATCCAGCTGTATTTACTCAACATGCAAGTGAAAGATATAACACCAACATGTCAGAAAACAATTGAAAAATAAAAAACCAGAATCACTGTGTTGGAAAACTTTTTCTCCTTCAACCACTGTGTGGTCAGTTTTGCTGTGTGCTTTGGTTCATTGTTATGTTGGAAGGTAAACCTTCTTCCCACTGACAACTTTCTGGCAGAGGGCAGCAGATTTTCCTCAAGAATTTGACGGTATTTTGCCCCATCCATTTTTCCTTCTATTTAATATACATTACATTTCATGTACATTTATATTACATTTAATGTAATATAAATGTACACTTTATTTTAAATCACCTAGTGAGAAGGCATCTGCAAATAACATAATATTTTAGAAATTCTACTTGCTCAATAATAGCATTTATTCTTCAAGATCTGGGTTATTGGAAAAAAAAAGTAAGCGCTCATGGTGGTCTAACAGAAAAAAAATCTGTTTATTTTTGGTTAAAATATTGCGTTAAAGTTAGTGTAAGCTTTGTTTTACAATGAATTACTTTTTCAAATTGGACCTGGTTGGGGACTTTACTCTAACCCAATGTTATTGTTTTTGTCTCGTACAGTTTGTGAAAAGGATGTCCTAACTGTGTGTACCAACTCATCTCATGAGCACATACATCCCTTCAAGGAGAAAATGGAATTTTTCAGTGCCAATGGTGAGCTATGCTAAGATGCATGAGATTAGCCTCCATTACCTTATTCTTCTGCAAGTAATCAGTGATGTTTTAATGGCTTTGATGACAGTAGCTGTGATTTTATATGGCTTGATAAAACCATCTTAAGCTGAAGTTGCTGAAGCTGGTTGATTCCTGGTAAAAAAAAAAAAAAAAGCACTCCAAATTGTGGCAAGAGTGACAAACATGACCACATACATTATATTTAAAATATGTTTTTATTAAAATTTGTATTGGTTTCACCAATAATATATTTTATTTGATCAAAAATACAGTAAAAATATATTATTATTAATAATAATAATATATTAATTTTAATATATTTTAAAAAATTAATATATTCATGTGATGGCAAATTTTTGTCTCGTACAGTTTGTGAAAAGGATGTCCTAACTGTGTGTACCAACTCATCTCATGAGCACATACATCCCTTCAAGGAGAAAATGGAATTTTTCAGTGCCAATGGTGAGCTATGCTAAGATGCATGAGATTAGCCTCCATTACCTTTTACAAGAGGATCTGTAGTTTTTAAGTCTTCTATTCTTCAATCCCTCTCATCTACCCTGTTCAGATATGAAGTCTAGTTGGTCTCTGAGGCGACCTGCCTCTCTAGATGATTGATGGAAAGAGTACAAAAGTTTGCTGAGATTGTATACAGGATTGTTTTGTTTTGCAGATCATAGAGGCAGATATATGGAGATACAAACTTGCTGTCATTTACTACAGTACAGCTGGACAAGACAACACTAGCTGTAGTGAACTAGACAAATAATATTTATTCTGTTTGTAGTTTATGTATATATTTATATACATGTTTATGTTATGTACATAGCACCAAAGCTTTTCCTTTCCTCACTACAATCTCTGCTACACAGATAAGACGGCACACATCCTGCAGTCATGAAGAATATCTGCCATGTGCCCTTTTGGGGACCTGATAAGTGTCTGGTCAGGTTCAGAAGACAGACACAGAGATAGGAATCAGGGAGACTTTGGCAATGGAGGAGACTTCTTAGTAAAGGAGTTTCGACATTGTCTTTGAGGCCCTTGTAGAAAGGCTATGAATAATATGACAATAATGCTGTTTGTAGTATGACTGACAGAGCAGTGCATTATCGCTGTTAAAGAGGTAAAATGAAGATCCTAAAGTAATAGAAGAGATATTGGCTCTTGATATTGACTGTGGTACTGGTTATGATATAATCTAAACACAAATGTCCTAATTGGCTAATTGCTGATATACATTTTTCATTTTACAGCACAAACAGAGCTAATTACTGTGGAACTTCAAGTGATATCGGCACGTAAAAGGTAGCACATCACTCTTGTTCCAAATATTACAAAAAATGCAAACTTCATAAACATTTTTGACATTATCTCCAGCTTTGCCCCATGTCTTTCCTTCCTCAGCTTCTCTGACCTAGTGGAGTACTTTGGACTGAAGCCACGTTCCGGAGAGCAAGAGATTGTGCCTGGCCATGTTTTCACACTTTGGTTTGAATTCTGCAATGATTTCAAGATCAGATGGAAGAGAGAGAACAAGGTCATATCCAAACAGAGGTGAGACGTTAATAGCATCTTGAGAATCTATAGCATCATAATGTGTGCTTTACAACTGCTCTGACCAACCGCACAGTGTGATAACCTAGTTAATGGTAACTTCTTCACTGGCGGTTGTTGTTTTTAGTGAATTTCAGCATTAAAACATTTGAAACATTACATTACGGTTACATAAAATACAATCTGTGCTCTTTTTGACTTCAGAATCAAAGAGGCCCAACATTCAGTGCGCAACATGACAGCAGAGAAGAAGACTGAGACCAGACAGGCACATGCGAATGGACTGGTAAGAGTCTGCCTTCATCCTTCCTTGCTGAGGTGTGGGTGGCAGATAGATAAGTGGTTCAAACACTAGTGACTATTGTACTTTAATGAATCAGGTTTTTAAAATCTTTCTGACTCTTATTAAAGGAATAGTTCACCCACAAAATTAAATATTGCTGAAAATGTACTCACCCTCAGGCCATCCAAGAAGTAGATGAGTTTCTTCATCAGAACAGATTTGGAGAGCTTTATCATTACATCACTTGCTCACCAGTGGATCCTCTGCAGTGAATGGGTGCCGTCAGAATGAGAGTTTAGGCAGCTGATAAAAACATCACAATAATCCACATGACTCCAGTCTATTCATTAATGTCCTGTGAAGTGAAATGCAGCGTAAGTAATGAGTAAGAAACAAATCCATCATTAAGACTGTCGCTTCCGACCATAATCCATAAAGTTAAAAGTTAAAACGCCTTAATATTTAATTTGTTTATTACAGACAGCTTTTCACTTCACAAGACTTTAATTGATGGACTGGAGTCATGTTGATTACTTGTGGATTATTGGGAAGTTTTTATCAGCTGTTTAGACTCTCATTCTGCTGGCACCCATTCACTGCAGAGGATCCATTGGTGAGCAAGATGCAATGATAAACTTCTTCAAATCTGTAGAAACACGGTCAAGTACAACTTGGATGGCCTGGTTCAGTAAATTTTCAGAAAATGTTCATTTTGGGGTGAACTAATCCCTTATACTACAAAATGCACGCACAGCTAAATGGGACTTCATAATGATGCATGTTTCTGCATATTTCAGAAAGAGAGATTGCGTCTTAAAGAAGCAAGTCTGACCACCAGCTAACCCCCTCTGCCATTTCCAAAGAGGACCAGATACGTTTATATTTAAGACCCAGGCACTTGCATTATTGGCAGGGTCAGAATGAAGTGCACCTGCTTGTGTGGCACTTTTCCACCAGATTGCAAGTTAGAGGATGACAGTCTTTCAGTGTAGTGGATCCTGTGTATAAACCAACAACAAATCACTCACCAAAAATACCTTTGACCATGTTTCAGATATGAATGTTCAAAATGAGAAACATTTAAGAAATGTTTATATTGCAAGTTAGCTCGATCTGTTCTGGGATTTTCACCAGTCTAAACAATTAAGGGTTGAAAAAAGCAATCTCGATATTTGACTTGGAAAAGGCAGTAACTTTATTTTGTACGAGTAACAAAGTTGAGTAACTTTTATGGTCATTAAATCAATACAGAATATTACAAAACAAAGATAATGTACATGTGAAAAAATAATATTAAACTACCCTATCAGTTTTATTTTGATAAACATCACGTTTTTATTGATGACAGTTATGTTGCTTCACATCTTATTGCCATTTAATCACAGTAATATTGTTCCTTTTACACTAAATGCAACACTGTAAAAAGTTTTCATTAATACAAAAACAATTTTCCATGCATCTAACTTATTTTCTGTAATGTTTGTTCACCAAGATTTTCAAACGTCACAATAATCCACATGACTCCAGTCTATCCATTAATGTCCTGTGAAGTGAAATGCAGCATGTTTGTAAGAAACAAATCCATCAAGACTGTCGCTTCCGACCATAATCCATAAAGTTAAAAGTTAAAACCTTTAAGATTTTATTGTAATGTTGGTTTGTTCACCTAGATTTTCTTCATCAATTGATTAAAAAGGCTGTAACTTGACACCACCTTCTTTTTACATTGCAGTATTGTATAAAAACCAGGAATAAATATGATGGAATGGATTTGGGGGGGAAAACTTGCTTATTTACACCCATAGCCTAATATGTATGTAATATATCCTATATTACAAATCAAGCCACAAAACAAGCTATTTGCATCAATGCGCAAATTTTGCTCCACACAGTGGAGAATAATATAATAATAATATAAGCATATTTTTAATGTCACTATTTTATAGTATTATAACTTATCCAACTTGTTGTAGCCTACATTTAATTGCATCAGTTGTATTTCTTCACAATATAAAGGACACATTTTGATGACTGGAGAACTAATGGAGGAAACAAATCGATCATGCTCCTACATTATTCAGCTATAGGAATTTTTGACTTTCAGACAAACATACAGAAGTAGCCTACAACAATGACGTCAGCGAGTTTAATCCAAGTCGACAGAAGTACAGCGGCACTGTTTCACGCGGCGCACGCGCTTCTTCTTGGTGCTGGGAGTTTGCCCGGGACAGATGAGCGTGTAAGTCACGGTAGTGAAACTCTTTGGCTTACACACGGAGCACGACTGAAACGCACTGTCCTCTTGATAAACGTGCCGAGGTATGTAGAAAGAGTTGCACTGCCCGTAACAAAAGCGGTTGATGATGGCGCGCGGCTGGCACCCGTCCTCGTAGATCATCAGTTTCAGCGGCTGCGTTTTACACCAGTCAAGTTTGAGGTAACGGCGCTCCGTTATGTGTAAAGCCTCCTGACTGGAGTCCAATACCTCGTCCCCGACTGAAGGTGGTCCCGTTCCCCTGGAACTGGCCTGCGGTGTCTGTTCCGACTGGTTTGGGCTGTATTTATTTGGGTGAGGAATGGCGCCGGTTCCCCTGATCCTCGCCGGATTGCAGAGCAGCCACAAGACCACGATAGTGACAGCTAATGCGTCTTTAGTCATCCTTTCACATGAAGAAAGAAACAGAACATTAAATGTAATCAAATATACAGTAATATAGGCTATATATATATATATATATATATATGTGTGTGTGTGTGTATATGTTTAAATAAAAAATAGAAATTTAAGGGTTTTTATACAAATATGCTATATTGTTTTATCAAAACATTTCATTTATAAAAATGAACACAACTTCCAAACTTAAAATATTTCAAAGCATGTAAGGTTCATTTAAACATTTACATTTTTATATACATTTCCTACTAATTCCTTTTTGGTAATTCCCTCTGGTGACTAATTTCTATAAACACATTTCACAAAAATCACACAGATGTGATTTGAAAATATATAAGTATATACAGTATATTCCATATGCAGACTTACCTCAGATTAATAATGGTTCAAACTTCTTCACATGGACTGGAGCTATGTTCACAAAGGTCTTTGTATACCATAACAAACTGATTAAAAATAGGTTAAACCAAATGATCCAGAACTCTGAGTCTGAACTAAGGTCTGGAGCTCTGTTCTGAGTGCTGACATTTAAAGAGAATGGGGCAGTCCACGCCTCCTCTGTGGTTCACAGCATTTTAGGGATGGTCCAGTGCTTTAAGAGAGTAAGGAACTTCATGATGAATGCATATTGTGATGTTTGTAATTTAGAAGAATCATGAAGTTAAAAACACGTCTCGAATTTTCTGCACATGAACATATACAATATTTTTATTTGATTAAGTGTTATTACAACAAAAGTTGTGCCAAGAGAATAATCATTCATTTTACAGTCACCCTTTGCTGCTCTATTAATAATATGATTCATTTGAATATCACACATAATGTAATGCTGACTTTACTGTGAAACTGTTAAAATTTTCATTGTACAGATTTGATAAATAACACGATGTTTAGGTCTTGATATTGCTTGTAGCAGTTTCAACCTCATCTTCCTCTGAGAAATGTGGCACTGATTTCTTGGCCACCACGTTATCCAGCCTCTGTCCCATCAGATATGGATTTGTACTCTGAAACACATTCAGTGACACATCCTGTGACATTTTTTTCTGAAAATGCAACATGTATATGCAACAGTGCTCCATCTAATAGTTCATGTGTTGGGCGTCTGCTGACAAAGAATCAACCAAAAGGCATAGAAAATTATATTCATTGCTTACCCTTTTTCTTCGTTTTGGTCCACCCTTCAGTTTTTCATACAACAGTCCATTATTCTGAAAGAATGAAAATAGATATTTAGTGCAGTCTGCTACAGACCAGAATCTTGGGCTATTTTGCTTCATGTTTCACACTGCTCATAATTTTTCCGGGTTAACAATTAATCCTGTGTATTCAAAAGATGACATTTCACACTGAACATTACTAAACCTCACGTTAATGTTCTTAACTGCATATTGGCAGTGTCGATGTCATTGTTTGGACAAACGCAGCATGCTACCTGTTTACATAATGGCGTTAGCATTGCGCATCCTCATACTATATATTGCTGACAGTACTATAAAGTTTTAATGAATGGACTTTTTGGATTATAAAGGTAACTATGAAATGGTCTCTTCTTTACTCCAGTTTACATGTTTTCCGTCATCATTTGAACTTTGACATTACCTTTACACGGGGTTAAAAGTGTGGGTTTACAACAACGATAACCAGGGGTTAAGTGCAGTGTGAAAAGCCCTTAAATGATTCAATCCGCGCGCTCTCTCTCTCTCTCTCTCGTGCTCTCTCTCTCTCGCGCACTCGCTCTCTCTCTCTCGCGCTCTCTCTCTCACTCGCTCGCGCTCTCTCTCTCTCTCTCGCTCGCTCTCTCTCTCACACACACACCATGCGCAAAACTCCGCATTTGAACAGTCAATAGCAAATACTTAAAACTAATAACAAAACAGTAGCTGATTCAGAAGCGCCAGATTGTCATAGCAAAGTCAGAATTACCTCCTCTCCTAGGTTCACGAAACGGTCGTCCATAAAATGCATTGCTGTTCTGTTGTAAGTGATCTTAAAGATTCCTAAATGCATCTACTTTCGGAAGGCCAAATAAAGTGCTTTTGCTTTCGCACTGAAACACACAGCGTCTCCCTGACATGGCTGCATCAACACTAACTGCGGTTACTGAAACCACGCCTTCTTTCTTTGCGTGAACATTTGGGTGGCATCATCCTAATATTTCCACATAGTGAGGTAGATATGTGGGGGCGTGTTAGAACGAGCCGTTTTAGGGGGTTGTGGCAGAGTCTTAACTTTGATAAAGTATATCTCTTTGGATTTGAGACTTTAGTCTTTGCAACTTCAGGGATCTTATCTATGCACAATCAGCTTGTAACACTCCAAAGAGAAAGGAAAACTTGAAATCGCATCATATGACCCCTTTAAATGAAAAATCAGAAGTCTCCTCCAACCTGTTTCAAGGTGTCAAGTGTGAACTCACCCACTTCGCCAGTGCAGGGTAGTCATGCTCGGGGTCAAAGAGGTGCTGATGTTTCTGGAATTCTCGACTGAACTCTGCAGTGTCTGGAGAGTTCTCTAAACATCCATCAGCAGCTATAAAAACCACATTTTTTAAACAAAGAGAGGGATGTACCCCATTCTCCGTGAATGTTTAGACCATTCAAACAGTTTAGAGTTGTCATTCCTTTGGGAGAATATGGTAAACACCTTCAATCTAATCAAATATTGAACAAATTTTCTTTGCCTCCAAAAAATTATTCCTCTTTCGATTAATCAAAGTGAATGGTGGCACCACTATATATTTAAGCATTCGATTGCACTTGGATCAACATACCAGTCTTTCCAAGGGGGCAAGGATTGGGAGGGTCAGGGTAGCCATGGTCCTCGCTGAAGTCTGTGGGAACACTGTCTCCAGTTAACTCTGCGACAATGTTAGGGATGTTCCCATATGGCCCGAGATGTTGGAGTCCCTCATGGGCACCACCTATTGGACACAGTCTAAAATTACACCTGAAGGCAACCACACAATGAGGAGTATTATAAGGACAACCTATTATTCTCAGTGGTCATTTACATTTTTAAAAAACGTGCAATTGCCAACAATGAGAAACTCTTACCTTGGATGCTGAGTGGACCGACTATGTTGGTGGCCTGATGCGCGGGATACTCGACCCTGGGCCGCGCGATTCCCAGCTGCTCCATCACACCGTGAAGCAGGCGTTGGATATCCGCCTCCGACACCTGATCCACCGTGCGTGGACTGCGGCCAGAAACGACGGCCATCGAGCTTATGATGACACTCAGAAGAACCGTGTGTGTCATTTTCGGAACCGAACCCATCGTTGACGTTCACTAAACACCGACAATTAACACAACATGTAGTGGAAAATTATTGCTGCGCCTTATATGTATGCTAAAACGGCAGCTTTTAATAAAATATTCATTGTTTTTAATATTTTATATATTTAAAAGTTAATGTAGAAATTGGGTTATAAAGCTAAAGCTTATTTTCTATAATTTAGATATTATTGAGCTCGCGCATTCCTGATTGTAACTACGTCACAAGTGCACAGACGTCATAAAAACATATGCCGTTATTTTACAAGCGCAAATTAAGAAGCATATTATTCGTATTTCAGCAAAACTGAAATCCAGCGTGTTGTAACTATATAAAATAATCAGCTAACCAAATTTGAAGCGATAACCTACCATGTAATCCTGTCTGATAAAGAAGTTGTCGGGTTCAACACAGATGCCGTCCTCCTCCTCTTCCTCGCTTCATTTGCTCTGTTGCCAAGCAGCCGAATCACCTCACCTCCACAAATGATCATTGGTTTACGCAATAACCAGCACATAGCCGTTAAAACTTGCTGCTGTGATTTATTGGGAACGGTAGAAGGACAAAGTATACGGAATATATAAGGAAGGTGTTAAAAATTATATAATAAATGTACATTCTAAGTGAGGTGTGTCGTGTCGTCATAGTCCGGGAATGTTATGGACCTGTCAGATTAATCGAATTATAATAGTTTAACGTCTATGCAAATATAGCCTACAGTACTTTTTTCTTTTTTTTCTTTTTTGACGTGCATGCAATTCACTCCTCATTACTAATAATATAACCAACAGCAATGCTTAAAAGTAATTATAATAATTTCCCTGGTAGTCTCTTCTCTGGAACAGGCCTGAATGGACTATATTATGTACAGAGCGTTCTTTAGAATTTGCAGCTGGTAAACTAACCTCTCCTGCCTCGTTCTTTTCAGAAATTGAGAAACAATTTGTACACAGACACGTAATTGTACATTTAAATGCTTACAACAACTAAACACTATCGTACCTATTTAAGCTAACTTTAGCTAACTAGCGATGCTGTCTTGTAAACGACATCATAATGGTGTTCTTGATCATCAATAACTTACTTCATAGTCATGAATATAACTGAATATGTACACAGGGTTGCCAACTTTGGTTGTCTGGCTGGCTGGCTGTAATGAGATTAGTTACAGTTGTGCAGTAAAATTCACATTAAAGATTAACTTTTCATTCATGAAGATGACATGAAATAAATGCGCCAAAATGTGTCTCCTGGCGGGAAACAAATAAAATAAAGAATTAAGCCCAGACACCAACAGTCTAGAAGGGTTAATTATTACAAATTAAATTAAATAAATAAATTATTAATGGTATAACAATTAAATAATGATGCATTAAATATTTTGAAATATATTTAGATTTAATTTAAAAACAACATTTTTTAAAGTTTTATCTTTAACTGTAAAAGCTGCTAAATATATTCAGCCAATACATACTTGCTGCTGTAGTTTTGTTACTCTGAATTTAGTCTGAATCACTTAATGCACAGGTTTATTTTTTACATCGGCTTGTCAGATAGTTAATTCCATCCATTGCTATCACTTATTCCACATAACCTACCTACGGTATGCATGTACAATTTTGAGAAGGTTTTTATTTTTTTTGTCTAATGCTTTTCAAAAAATCTGCTAATAGCTAATATCATTTAGGATCAAACTGACAATAAATAGCTTTTGATAAGGAAACATGGAAAAGTCTGTATTTGTCAGTTGCAACTTCTTCACCAAATACTCAAAGACAATACACAATGCGAGCCAAAAATACTGTTACACATCACAACTTGTATTACAACATTCATTACATGTATATACAGCATAAAGCACAGTACAAATGCATACGGAGGGTTAGTTGGATTAAACTGAGGAGGATTTGAGGTTTAGAAGCACTTCCTGTGGACAATGGAGGGACCTGCCTCATCATACTCCTGCTTGCTGATCCACATCTGCTGGAAGGTAGACAAGGAAGCCAGGATGGAACCGCCAATCCAGACCGAGTACTTACGTTCAGGGGGAGCAATGATCTAGAGGACAAACACAAGAACATGAATGTAGTTAGACTACAATTACAGCTATAAAAGGAACAAGCTCATTTAGTTGGATGGACGTTTACCTTGATCTTCATTGTGCTGGGGGCCAGGGCTGTGATCTCCTTCTGCATACGGTCAGCAATACCAGGGTACATGGTGGTACCACCAGACAGGACGTTGTTGGCATACAGATCCTTGCGGATATCAATGTCGCATTTCATAATGCTGTTGTAGGCTGTCTCATGGATGCCAGCAGACTCCATACCTGTGA